AAGTATTTGATGGTCAATCGTATCAAACGCTGCCGTCAGATCCAAAAGTAAAAGTACAGTAACATTTCCGAGATCAGTCGCAAGAAAAATATTGAAAACTCTCAGCAAATCTGATTCAGTGTTGTGATGTTTTTAAAAACCTGATCGAAACACTTCACAGATCTCATTTGCATCAACAAAAACATCAAAATTAGGTGAAAAAAAATCTACATCTAAACCCTGCATTGTTTCCAGAAAAGTTACATTAAAATCAACTTGAGTTTTTGAATTAATTGGTCATACACTACGCTTTACAGAGCAGCCTTTATTTTGCTGATGAGGAAAAGAGACAGTAAAAAGAATGGGATTATGATCAGCTAATACAAAATCATCTATGATAATGTCACTGACTGGTAGACCAAGGGACATAATCAAATCCAGTGTGTGACCATGAGAGTGAGTAGAGCTTTTGACCATTTTTCTGAAAACCTAAAGAGTCTATAAGGTTCAAAAAGTCTTTAGACATAGAGCTTGATGGACAACAGACATGAATATTAAAATCTCCCAACACTAAAACTTTGTCATAATTCAGTACCACGTCCCCTAAAAAGGAAGACAACTCTGAGATAAAATCCTTATTTGGTCTTGGTGGCCGATAAAGAACAGCACAGAAAACAGGATTCAGCATCTGTATTTCAAAGGCTTGAAGTTCAAAGCTGGAAAAACTTTCCATATTAAGATGGGTACACGTAAAAGAGACCTTGAAGACAGAGGCCAAGCCCCCTCCTCTTCAAGTCTCTTGTGGTGAATTTAGGACATTAAAATTACTTGGAACAAGTTCCCCAAAAATAACCATATCACCAACGTTCAGCCAGGTTTCAGTGATAAATAAAAAGTCTAAGTTCCGAGCTCTGATAAACTTGTTCAGAATAAAGGTCTTATTTTTTTAAAGAACGAACGTTCAGCAAGGCCAACCTGATTTCCAGTTTATACTCCGACGACGTGGCCTGGCACCACTGCGAACCGATCAATACAGGGCGAAGATTCTGCAGGTTAACTCCATTGCATTTCAAGTGTAGAGAACACCGAAAACTCGACAACACAGGCCCTGCTGGCTCAATGGGTAGAATCCACCGCGGCACCGAGCTCACCCAATGCCCACACAGCACAAGGCCACTTCTCCATCTCCAGCGTATTGCCTCTTGCGATCGCGGCAAACTCGGGAGTGATAGTAGATAAGCCTTTAATTTCACAAGTTTACCGTCTCGCTTTCCACTGCGACGCTGTTTCTTCAGCAAGGGGGGCCAAGACTCGTGTTGCAACCATGTAGGGATATTAAGGTGCGATGTGGTCTCTGGAGATGTATTGGAGATGTCCTCATTCTTCTGTAACGTACTCCTCAAAGGAGCTTCTAATGTTTAAAAGTGCACAACAATCATAGATTAGTGCAGATGTAGAGTCGAGTTTTAACCAAGTCACAAATAAGACAATCGACATGATACAAAACAGACTGTGTAACAGAGGCAGATGGCATGCCATGTACATCGACGCCATCTCGGCATTTACTCAAAACTCATTTACAATCAAAACTCATCTATGACTCCCATCATGCATTGTGGCATGAATAAATTATGAGCAGAATTGTCTTTGTAATTTATATTATTCTTATACTATTTTCTTTTATTTTTGCTGTTTTTATGTGACTTTTTAGGAGCTTGTCTTGTGATGTTCAGAGTTAATCTGTTTATCGGAATATACTGTTTGTCACCATTGTTGAGATTCATACACTGATTATTGTTGATGTATGTGTGTGCCTAAATGAAAAACATTCTTTGAAGATTTATTTATTATTATTATTTTTTTGATCAGAACAGCTTGTAAGAAAGCCATCCAAAATTTATAGAAAATACAGAATCTTTCACTGTGGAGTCACAAGGCTGTTATAATCAACGAAAGAACTTTAACTCAGAGATTAGACTCCAAATGAGCTCAGAGATTCAGGACAAATAATGATTATGTTAGAACACAACCATCACCACTTGATGACTTTCGTGTTTTGCAAAAATCTGGCTGATATAATTCAGTTATAGCATTGAAATCAAATGTAATATTAAAAAGGCAAGGGTCAAGAGCCCAACTAAAATAAACACTAACACTGTAAGCCCGTACAGAATACAGGGCGGTTTGACAAATAAGTTGAAAGAGGCATTACAGTGTCGCTCACGTGAGGAAATTAAAGTGTCATGCCACAAACCAATTTGCAAACAATAAACACGTTCTCCTTTTTTTCAAACAGGAAACGAGATGGTCAAAATATACACTGACCATATGTAAACATACCAATGGCTGTAGTGTTGGGAAGGACATGTATGATTTTTTGGTCTCCACTAATAGCAACATTTGTTAATTTCCTGTG